CAGTAGCAGGATTTTTTACTCTAGCTAAATAGCTAGTTCGAATTCAGTCGCTGTCTGGAGGAGAATTCTACCCTGATCGGGAGTTTTTTGTGGTTTCTCCGAACATCACCAGCGAATGTCCTAACAAACGAGCCAAGGAACGCGCGCGATCTTTCCTTCCCCTTCCTTTCCTTCCTAACCTCGCCCTTTACTTAGACACAATTACTTTAACATGCACTACACCATCACACATGCCGGTATTTCAGACGGGAGTATAGAGCTTGTCCGAGCTGAGGCGATGCCTGGTTGAGGGAAAACCCGCTATCCGTCGTGTAGCTCGGGGCCGCATCTCACCATCCAGCAGAGGGGAAGATCACCGCCTCATCAAGCAACACCGCACATCATTTACAGCATGTACTACACTTAGAGGACTAATGACCTTAATAGTCGACGCGCCCAGAATCGCTAATCAATAAGTCAATGAAATAATTAATCAATCTCGACAAAAAAAGAAAATTCTGAAAAGCTACCTATATTTTCTTTTGGACAGTAAATTAATATTTACAATCCTCCCAACACCGATACATCTATTATTGGTATTCATGTTTCGAATAAATGACTTCGTTAATCTATCATATTTATTTTTCATTACAAAACAAAATAATTAATCCCAATAATTAATCTAGGTAAAAAGATGCAGATGGCTAAAGCAGTTGTATAAATTGATAGGTTTATCTTTTTTTTCAAGCTTGGAATCCCATTCAAAAAGACTGTAACAAGCAAAGAGAATTGATTGTCTATAAGTACCAAAAACGTCTTAATACGTGAAACTAACCATTAAATTTTAGAATAAATCACAAGTGATTCTGCACGAGACTAAGCAATTTGCATCTAAACATCATCTCAAAGACGATTGAACTAAGAAAGTCTGTATGTGTTTGTGGAAGTGTGTGTGTGGTATTGCATGGCTGCTTCAGCATTTGTCACGAGTCATCGATCTGGAGACAATCGAGAATCTCCCGAAAGAGGGAAAAAAAAGAAGTCTGAAATAAGAAGGTGAGGTGGACGGCCTAATCTCTCTTCTATTGTGGGCGGTGGGGGCGGGATGTCCTTCAGGGTCGTGGGCACGTATATTAACTGCGACGTACAGCATTCGCCGTTGTTCTTGTTATCGCATCGAGGGCTCTGCAGCCACCGTCACCATGTACAAGCTGGTGAGTAATCACATTTTAAACGTTTTCCTGCGACATTATCATGATTATCAATTCATTTAAAATATTAATGGTTTTCGTTTAAAAAGAAATTTTAGAGTTCTACGCAAGTAAATTTTGTGTTTTTTAAATAAAAGGTAGTGGAATTTAGATGTGTTTTCACTTACTATTATTAGCCCATCCCATAGTAAAAACACTAATTTTTAATAATATTTTAAAACGAATATAATGAACGCTTACCTGTCATCATTTTTTCACTACGTCCGTTTTAAGAGATACTACAATCCACGTAGTTTGTACTCTTAGTCGAGTTTCAGTAGTTTTATGTTAGCAATAGTATTTTACGTTAGCAATAGATGCAATAGCACTCAAAGTTTAGTAGAGTTTTTTAAAGTTCAAAGTTAATGAGCGTTTTTAAATGCTAACATTATCGACTGCAAACAAACGCAATATTCACCAAGCATCTTACGTGTGTATGTACAAAAATGTTCATAGGTTATAATGATATGTGGTGCTTAATACGTTTGCAGTCAATAGATAGCAATATTTCTTGTTGTAGTCCTTAGCATGCATGTGCAGATCTGGTAAACAAAAAACATTTCAATTGCACTTTTAGAAACATATTCATTGAATTCTGTGCTCGCTATGAATTGCGCTTATAATGTTTCAGAATTTCTAAACCACTCAGGTCATTAGTCTTGAAAAATAACTATTGAACGGCAGACAACAATATTTTTGAGTTTTCGATTTTTCTGTTGTAACTTTTCTACAGATTCGTTTGAGCAATGCAATGCTATAGATTCCGCTGGTTGTTACAACAGTGATTTGCATGCACAGAACACGGTAACGAGAACACGGTAGGTTATTCTTTCCATCAACTCAGGCTAGAGAATGTCTGGACTATAATGGATGTTCCCAAGAATTCAATTTTTCTGAATGGTTCGCAAATGCTTTTCACGTCATTTTAATTTCTTTCTAGTTTCTTGCCATACCTTGGTGACCAATTCATTTGCTAATACCATCGCAGGAAGCATGTCCACTGCCCGCAATCCATACACGTCTCAATTCAACTGCTTGTAGTAGCCGCTGTAGACATTCTTCGTGGTTCTTCCGTTGCCTCTCTAAGTACAGATTCAGTTGGCTGACCTACACTGCCCTAATAGACGTTTCCCAAAGTTATCACCAAGCCCTCATTGTGTCATCAGTTCACCATCCATGCCATTGATGGGTGATTATTATAAAGAAAAGTTTGATATTAAGTTCTTTATATGTTTGATAATGTGAGATAAGCAATGGAACTTTAACAATGCATGCTTTTGAATAATCTGACGTGGTTTTAAATTACCGAAAGTCATGTTTTCCAAATGTGTTATCAATTTGATGATATTGGCCTAATTGAGTAGTTTGGCGTAGAAATCAGGTTAAATTATCTTAAGTTATAGTTAAGATGGGAGGTTGAAAGTTTATATCTTATTTGCGGGGCATTCGTCACGATTTTTTTTATCTAAAGGTACTCGTAAATATTTAGTAATTTTGCATGGCGTTCATTAAACAACGGGATCATTGTAGTTTAAGGACAGGGAATCAACGTTTGGACGTCAATATTTTGGCTTGTGATTCTTTCATTTTTCGGAGTGTTCACCTTTGCTTTCCATAACTCGGTCTATTTGATTCATTTGAATTTATTTACCGCAGTCACGAATGTTCGTTTAGCATACGATGATTGAGAGTGGGAATTTTTTGTGCCATTTTCATTACGAATATTTTCAGAGATTGGGCACCAAGAGGTGATTATGAAAATGATGATTGATGGGATGAGGATTGAATGGGATACGTGGAACCCTCTGCTTTCACGCCGTAGTCACAGAGCGAGAACATCAATACTTTACGCTGGATTACGTCCTCAGATGCAGCGATTACACTGGTTTCTTCCACAATTCTTTGACGTTATTTTGCTCGTCAGAGTGACAAAATAAAAACATATCATTTATGCACAGAGTTATTTTCTTTTAATAGAAAATGAAAGATGCGGTAAATGAATTTGCAGATTTATTCCAATGATCATGTATTTGGATTAATTTTTAAAAGTATGTTTTATCGTGTCAAAAAAGTAAAATAATAATTAGAAAGCGAACAGGCCGACCTAGATGGCCGAGGTGGTTATGAGCGTGTACCGATTCTGCGCTTCGGTCTGAAGGGTCGCGTGTTCTGCTGACCCCAGATTAGAGGAGCCCGCAATTGCGTAGGTCTAGTGTATGGCCGAATATGCACTCCATTGGGATGTATAGGGTAACCGGCTGTTGGCTGGAAAAGTCCAAAGAAGAAGAATGCAAAAAGGATGGAAATGTGAATACTTTTTTGTAGTTCTTATTTTTAATTGCTTACTCTGCAAACAAAATGTGACCCATATGTTGAATATAACTTAATTAAAATACTCTCTCTCTCTCTTTATCTAACAAACTACCCATCTATCTATAAATGCCAGTCATTTGGTGAAATGATTTATCTACTAACATACTTAACGGACCGACAGCTGATGTTGGGTCGACAAGACAAAAAATGAATCGCTGGAGCATTTGTGAATGTGCAAGTGACATTCTAACGCTGACAGGCTTACGTATTTATTGAGAAAGAAATAATCCACATACTTTTACTATTAAGTAATTATGTAACACGAAATAGTTTTCATGTCCTTTTATTACTTGCTTGCTTTTCTTCAAACAATATTGTTTATGTCGAGAGAAACAAATTTCGAGCTCATCAACCGCACATATTCGCGAGTGTTTGCGTGTCGTGTCCACCCCCTTTCTTCTGCGCAACAGCCATGTCGCATGCACAGAAACGGTGAAACGCACCGAAAGAATCAGCACCAGCAAAAACTAATGAGCGAACTGAACTGGCTGCTGGGACTAATGAGTGAGTCAGCCGGACCACCGACAGACCGATCGACCGATCGACGCTTAACAGCAGATCCTGTCATCGACTCCTAAAGGTTCCTTCACAATGCAAACGTTAACACAAGCATAACGCATAAACGTAAACATTAACATGAATGATAGACTGAAGTATTCACAATGTCTAACATAACGTAAGCAAAATAAAAAATTTCTATTGGCTGTGAGACATTCTACTTTACTATTGGTTGGATGTGAGAATCGATTTCAAGGTATCTACTGTGTCCATGGCCCATACGGCGTTAGTTCTTCTATCAACTTCGGTTCAATTTCGATTCTCGATTTTGAGTTAAGAAATGAACCAATCACAGAACGTTATGTCTTAATTATAAGCACAGAAGCTTGAAGCTTGCAAGCTGTTAAGTTAACGTCTTACGTGTTATTCATATGCGAACGCATTGTGAATGAGTCCGCTTACGGATGTAGTCCTACCTTTTATGTTAACGCTATGATCATGTTCATGTTTGCATTGTGAATGGGCCTTAATGTGTTCCTTGCGCCTTCGAGCTGTCAGCGCGCTCGCACAAGATTCAGGGAGCGTCAACTGCTAAGGTCATTAGTCCCGCACGTGTAGTGAAATGTAGTTTACCATTTACTCGGTGGTGCGGTGGTTTTAACCCGCGGGATGGCGAGATCAAACGCCGACTTACTATCGACTTAGGGAGATTTCCCCAAGCAGGTATATCTCAGCAGCTTGGCACCACCCCAGCTGCGACAAGCTCTAAACTCTCGACTGGTCTCCCGGCATGTGTAGTGCATGTTAATGTAACCGTGTGGAAGTCAGGGGTGACGATAGGAAAAGGAAGGGGAAGAAAAGATCACGCAAGGTCCGTGACCCATTTGTTAGGGTACTGCTCCAGAAAACTAGCGGCCAGTCGCTAGAATTGTCCTCCAGACAGCGACGGAATTCGACCTAGCTGACAAGCTGACAACCTGCCTCTGTCGGGGCTTTAACCTAGGACCCGGTCAGAGGCACTGCAGCGACATCAGTTGAGTTGCCCTGTGCCAAAGACTTTTCCCGACCCAAAGATATTCCAACCGGACCATTATTCATAGTGATGCTTCTCTTTTGTGTAGACGCTGGTGCTCTTTGCTCTTCTGGCTGTGCTCGCCTCCACTTCCGCGTATTTCTATGGCGGCATGTATGGCGGATATGGCGGCTACGGTGGCTATGGCTACGGCATGTCCCCCTACAGTTACGGTTTCGGTTATGGCTACCCGTATTCCTACGGATATGGGTATCCGTACATGTACGGATAAGCGTTTGCCAAGTAAGTGGGGTTACTAATTATAGAATTACCTTGAAATAGAACGAATGCGCTCATTTAGATCAGTTTTATATCGTTTCTGACTTATAACATTTTTTAAGAAACTAATTATTAAACTAAAACAACTATTTGTATAATGACGTTGATTTAAAAAGTATTTTTAACATTTTGTTGTTTCTTTTCTTTCAGATTCACAAATGTGGCTTGAATGTTCACTTCAAGCTGGATCCTAAATAAAAAAATAAGCAAGTAATCTTGTGTTTTGTTTCCATATATGCTTTCCCTATTATATGATTCTACCAAAAATACCTCGTTGGACCAGCCGGATTGTCGCAGAAATAAACGATAACCTAATCAATATAAGTCAGTTCAGTAGGAAAAGGAAAGGGGATTAAATGTTTTAGAAGTTGATTTTTTCATGTCATCTTTTTTAGTATCAAGTTAGGCTACGGAGAATTAACAAGTGAGATTCCTACGCTGATCTATACGTTTGTATGGGAGTATAAGGTTAAATGTTAAATAAATCCATGGCAAAGACCTTTGTAGCACTCATACACGGAATCTAATACTTACCTTCATTGTTTATTGAAAGTTGAATTGAATGTGTGAAAAATATGAAAAAAATGATAGTGTTATTTTGCGGTACGGTTATGACAAAATAGACTTTACCCTTGGCGAAGCAGAGAGAAAAAATCAGAGCTACCTGAAACAACTGAGCACTGCAAAGTAAAAAAAAAACACTGGGGCAACATTAATCAATGCGACTGTCATCTTGCTTACTGAAAACGAACCCAACAGTATACATTGTGTTAAAATACAAATATTCTTTTTTTGACAATAAATAAGAATATTGTTCGATAATTGTCTTTTTTCATCACTAAAATCCTTTTGGGGCAAAACATTCCTATTAATTGTCAAAAAAACAATATTATTAATATTATAGAGACAATCATAATCGTATCAAAATTGTATCTGCTTAAAAAAAGAATATATTGTACTTGTAAGTTTAAATGCATTTGTACTAAAATGACATTTTCTTTACATAACCCTTTAATAATAATTTCTTTACATCTGTACAGTTTGTGCTTATGTTCCACAGTTATACAATGATTCTGATTCTATTTTAAAAACTTTTTCCCACAAGTTTGAAACAACAATAAGAATAGTCCTTAACACGCCAACATCAAGATAATGAATATGAATGCAAAGCATTTACACATCAATATAAACAGTTTTCACTCATATCTTCTGTACGTTTTCATACGTAAAACAAATTTCGGCTGACTTTGCAGTCAACGATCCGTACCGACTGTCAAAGTACGACCTTCTTCTCCAACTTTCAGGTTCCCCACAAATCTTTGCTTCCTTCTGTGACTGTTCTCTAGGTTTGGTTGCAGTTAGCTTATCACACAAACTTATCATCACTAAAATTATTATTTCTGAGAGTTATTTCATACTAGGTCATATTCTTACATAAATCATAATTTCATCAGAGGAAGACAACTGAATTATTCAACTTTTATATATGCAAACAATTCTCCATATAGAAATGCTTCACTTAGTTCACATTTTAACTTGTAGAAAATCATTTTCTTTGCAAAAGTTTCGACCGCTGACGTTGCACAAAGTACGATTTAATAGCGAACCCACGGCGCTGCCGACGTGGGCAGTCCTTGGTTTGATTGATTGATTGACTGATTAGTGATTACTGGCACGTCAACTACCAGGGTCATTAGTCCCGTAAGTGTAATGCATGTTTTTAGCTCGGGTGGGCAGTCCTTGGTGCTC